GTTCTCTCTCTGAATCAGGTTATTCACTGGGCTGTTAAGCCATCGAGTCTTCTAGGGTTGATCGATCCAACGAACGAAGCGAAGCGCAGTGAAGTCATAAAAAAGGAGGGAAACTCCGGAAGAGTTCGGGCAGAAATAGATGGGGAAAACCCCTTTCTATTATATTAGTAAAGCGCGCTCCTTGCATGACTCCATCTCATTCATTATTAAAGCGAAAGCGACATCACCCTAACCTTAAAATCGATAAACGGGAATGCATTACCTAATAATGAGATAATGAGCAATGCTGATAACAGCAAATGGTTCCTAACCTTATCAAAATCAGAGTACGGCATATCCGACTATCCGGCAACACGCTTGGATAAGTAAGGCGATGAACCGTACCTCTATCTCTAGGCGCTATGATGTTTTATTATGTAGATCATGTCTTGCTTGAGGGCTAGTAGCGCCTCCGCTCGCCCTTCTATAATAGGGAAGGGAAAAGAAAAGTACAGACCCACGTCTAGGGATATACGAGCGCCATTCTTCAGATGGATCGCTGTTCGATAGTTATTGTAGCCGGGATAAGCAGGCACGAAAGTCAGTATAGCGTCCTAGTTTTTTAGTACAAGTAGCTAAAGGGGAGGTACGACTTGCGTCAAACTTGTGAAAGAATATTTGCTGCGCACCTGCTGAACAAGGCTCCTTTCAAGTCAAACGGAGATTACCAGTTCCGGAAGGAACCAACCATTGTACTTCTAGGGGACGGTCTAACATAGCGGAAGGCCACGGCTTTTGTGAGTGTTCAGCACAATACGGTACGGGATGCCACCAGCATAAATGAGGCGAACAAGAGCCACTGACACGAGATAGATTTAATGCCAGCCTGGAAGTGATTCGCTAAGTCGGGTTTTCCAGCGGCCGCCTCTTGTAGAATCGTCGACAACCTGGCTGCCACTATCATGTGTGTAAAGACTAACTGTATAGGCATACTGGAAACCGTTTGGCAAGTCAAGGGACCTTGAAATCCGCTTCTTAGCTATAACGTTCCAGAGTCATGCAGAACAGACACTAACCGTCCTCCTATTACAATTAATTAATTGGACCTTCAAGGAACGAGTAGAGTACAAAAACGAAAGATTTGAGTAAGCCTCCGAGTAAGGGATATTCAAAAATGCCGTAGCAAGGTAGTTTAGCTTTAAACAGACCAGTTTAAAGCCTCCACTTTCATAGAAGAGCGTCAGTAGGATAAAACAGCAATCCCAAGACTAGCTTTCCCGGACAATATATATTGTGAAATGGTGGCCCTATAACAAATCCAGAGTACCGCTCCGTGGGCTTGCGGTTGCCCCACAAAGCTGGTCACCTTAACCAGTCATACCTATACCCATTTATGGAGATTCAGGAGCTGAAGCTTAAATTAAAGCCATGAAAGATCCTACTTACTGCATTTTTATCGACTCCCCTCTACCAGAGATTCCATGAATTCCGGGCACCTGCAGTAGCAGCAGGGATAGGAGAGACAAATAACCAGCCAACTATGTATGCCTTATTTGCATACCTCTCATCTTCCTTATGGAATGGGTTCCTCCTTAGAATTAAGGAAAGAAAGAGTCTTGGATGAGCATTCCTTTCCTTCACTTCGCTTCTAAAGTTGGGGGAATATTGGCCCAGTTCTTTTCCCTTCCTTGTCGTTTGGGGAATGTCCTAACCCTACCCTCTTTCTTGCTTTATAGAAAGGAAGAGCCACTAGGGTCGATTACATTGAGATAGGCAACGGAAAGCTTCCAAGAAAAGCTTGAGACCAATTTCTTGGACCGATCCTCAGACGGAGCCATACCAGTTATCTTTTCTCGAAACTTGCTCGTCAAAATCATGGCAGGATTCTTCGGAAGGAGAAAAAAGCCTCTCATCGAGAAAGCCCTCTATACGCTCGAGCAAAGAGTTTGAAACCTACCTTCTGAAAGCCAAGAATGGATTGCTCTCTTTCCTTCCGCTTTAAGTGGCAAACGAAGGACCGGCACGCGAAGAACTCAAGGCACACTTCTCTAACCCTGAAGAGGAGAATCTCACGGTGCCCAGTTCGCTCTCGTCGATTATTAGTTGGGTAGTCAGGAGAAGAAAAGGAAGAAGAATCGAGACTTTGCTTAAGAAAGAAAAGAATAAAATCGGATTTGCCTAAAAGAAGGCAGAGTAGCACTAGCGGGAAGGGACATGACAGCTGAGAGGGAGAGCAAACAGCACAGCCGCATCGAGGTCAGCAGCATCAAATCAAAGGGACTCGCCCCATTCTTGAGTTCGAACCGGATCTCATGGAGTAGCAAGATGAGCTGTTAGGCACGAAAGCAAGCCCGGATACAAAAGAAAAGAAAAAGAGATTTTCTTTCTGCCAAGTCCGCTTTAAAGCAAGACTCAACTTCGTCGAGCCTCATATGACTAAGCGCTAGGAGACGATTAGCTCTAAGTGCTGGATCGATATAATTGACCTATGATCGCGAGCTGCGGCTTGCTTTGTTCGCATCTCCGTAACGGCCTTGTTAAAGCGTTCCAACGACATCTTTAGCCCTCAGTCTCTACTGCCAACTCGTTTCACTCCAGTTTCCCGTAGCAACTACAGCAAGCTGCCTAGCTCAAATAAGAAAGTCACGGGATTTATTATAAGATAGGGATTCATCCCCTAAGAGCAGCGCCAATAAGGAAGGGCTCAACTCAATCCCAACATGGTTCTTTGTAACTGCTCAACTTTGTCGACCCAACTTTAGAAGCGAAGTGAAGTCATAGAAAATAGCATGATTGACATAGTTCTGGCTAACCCTAATGTTATGTTTAACACATGATGAAGCTACGAGCGAGGGAGTTCGAGTTAAAGACCCCAGACCATGAGGAATCTTATGACGAATGGAGTACAGCTGGGGGCTTAACTACCTTTCCTATCCTAAACCAGTGTAGCTAGCGGCAGAGGAAAGCGAAGGAAGGGGAAGGAAATCATATCTCCACCTATGAGGCTTTTAGGGAACTTTGTTTGCTATGACCCAACGGTTTGGTACCGAAGAGATAGTTACGCAAAGGACAGCAATTCCACCAACTTTCTCAATTACATCGACCCTCTCTCCGAACTAGCCAGCAAGCATGTGAACAGGCAAGCCAAGCATGCGAGCAGTAGGAGCAAGTCCGAACCTGCTAGCACGAGCCAGTAGTAAGGAAGGCAAGTAGTAGTAGAAGACTGGATGAGCTAGTTCTTAAGCTCGGTAACTACTAGCAAAGGAAGCTAAGCGGAGGAAGGCTACTACCGGTCTAAACTCCTAAACCAGGAAGCCCATATTTATACAAGGGTCGATGTAATTGAGGGTTCGCCTATCCGTACTACTACTTTATCCATCTCCGTAGCTGACGTATTTCGCACTACTGAACAAGACTCGAGCGCGTCTAAACGCCCTTACCCAAATACCAATTGCACTGAAAATTGGAGACAGAAAGATTTTTTCTCGAAATTGATTTAGATTCCGAAACTGAAATTTCCCAAAACCTGCATTGTTGATCCTGTAGGTTATGCGGGGGGTATTTGGTTGTGTTGGGATGATGGGGTGGTGCTTATTGATAACGCGCTCTTTGATGATACAAGGTGTTACGGGGCCACTAGTTAGGTTGTGCATCTTGTTGCCATCCTTAACGGCCTTGCAAACTTCCTTGGCTTCCACTTCCTAGAATAAGCTCTGGCACGCGAGAAACCAATCTGTTTGGATCGCCAATGGGGAATTCATCCCTCTCTTATAAGGTAGGCAAAAAAGAGTCCTCTCCAGCCAGCGTCTTGTCACCATGGGACAAAAGCGCATGAGGAAGTTGAGAATAAGGTGGCCTTGATCTTGTTTGAGGTAATGCACAGGACTCTGCATCTACTTTTTTATGACTTCACTGCGCTTCGAAAAGTTCGTTGGGTCAGCTCTGAATCTTTGGCCGTTGGCGACTGCAATAGCTTTGGGATTTGGATTGGTTTGAGGCCGGCCCTTACCTACCTTCCTGTGAGGACTTGGGAATACCTCCTGTTACAGGCCGACTAGGTTGTTCCCTAGAGGGAGCTGGCAAGAGGAGGATATTCGCCATAGGGAACTATGTGAACCAACGGTTACTCAACCCGGTTCATGTGTGGCTGGCCTCGGTTTTGAAGTCCCTCCCAATGGATGGGACATATGACCAGACCCGTCCACTGTACCGGTTGAGAGGTGCAAAGGATGCCTACTCATATGACCTGACGGCCGCCACGGGGCCGCTCGTCATTATGTTTGAGGTGTTCCAGTACCNTTGACCGGTCCTTTGCTTCCTCCATAGTAAATTCTTGTCTTGCCACCATCCTTGTGCCATTTGTTAAACGAAAATGGTCACAGGTCTCGTTTGTGGCGGGCCAACCCTTGGGTTATCTCTCTTCTTGGCCTTTGTTTGCCTTCTCACACCATGGTCTGGTTGGCAGCCGAGAAGGTATACCCCGGTCGAAGGTTCGATCAGTATGCAATACTAGGAGATGATGTTGTCATCACCGATACCCGAGTAGCACAGGCCTACGCCTATATTCTAGATGAGTTGGGGGTGAAAATTTCAACCTCCAAATCACTAATCTCTAATACAGGTTGTATGGACCAAGCGATTCTTGGTCGGGTCGGTGGATTTCTCCCCTGTGTCCATGCGTTGTCTCCAGAATGACTACCACCCTAATGGACTATTTATCATTCACAAGGAGAGCAAAGTGAGTCTCGACGTCAAGGAGAGGAAAGGTGTAATTGAGAAAAGGTTTAGTACCTTTTGTAGGGTAGGTGGTATGGGGTACAAGACGCTTTCTAGGTTGAACACATCCTCTTCCAAAACTGTGCTAAGGAGGAGGGCTATGTGGAACCGTTTTGTCTTACCACTTGAATTGTGGTTGGGCAGAGGTGAACCTCTAAATCCCTACTATATAGGATATCTTATTGAGTATCTCCGAAAGGAAAGGAGTTACGGCCTAAAGATCTACGCATTCCCCCAGCACAATTGTTTGAAATGCCGGGGATGCTAGATTGGCAGGAAGGGGGTCCTATCNGCGCCAGTCGTCATGACCAACTGGAACTGTGAGCGCAAAGATGAAGTGAAGAAAGTTCTGAATAGAAGGGATAAGAAGTACGGGAAAGAGTTCATTCTTTGACTCCAATAGTTCAAGTAGTAATGCCAATTTCCTGTCTTTGAGGGTGGCTACCACATATTTTATAGACAGGTCTTAGTAATCTTTACCGGGAAGGTCTAACTAGATAACTTTTCCTGAGGTTTTAGTTGCAGTGAATGGTTCTTTCTTCTTTAAGATAAAAGGTCTTCTTTATCAGAAGAGGATCGACAAAGTTGAGGCTCGACAGTAAAGGAGAGGAAGATGTCTGCTAAGACAGTGAATCTTGTTTTTTTTAGCATTCTTCCTACTCTCTATGTCCCTGAAGAAGTATTGGTAGTCAGTCAGTTTTGTCACGAACTGGACTCGAAAACGTGAGAAAACATAGAATTCCTTGACAGTCGACTCACTTCGTACTCGGATGACTGTCTTCTCATCACCTGACTTACTGGTGGACACTGCTAGAGCACTCTCGGCATCATCAGAACACTCCCCTTGACTAGCAACATTTGCTTCATAAGAGAACTCATCAACTCTCTTTTTCCCTTTATCTTTGCGCTTCGGACAGTTCTTCAACATGTGCCCAAACTCGTGACATGCTTTCTTTATCAATGAACTGTGTGTCAACGTTGTGCCGTCTTTTTCACTCTCTCACTATCTGAATTTGAAGGTTAAGTCAGTGTTCCGGAATCAAAAGTAGATACGGGGCTAAGAAAGTCTTCCCCATCATCCCTTGCTGCAAGGTACGAAGTCTTCTGTCGCGTCCTTACTAAGCTTTCAGTAAAGTAAGTAAGCCTCGCCGGCCTCGACTTCTTGGATGCTACGAATTGTCCCTGGCATTGTGGCCTAGCTGCCCTTCCTCCACCGGAGATGCGGATTCAATAGCTTCTCTTTCTGTTGACTTCACTCCGCCTACCCCCGCCTTAGCTCAGCGATTCTTTCCCTCAGTACTGTTTGGAGTAGGTGATAATGAGGAACAGCAGATATGTGAACAGCGGATGTGCGATATTCACTTTGTAAAGCTGATAAGCGTACATCCGAGATGCGATTCAGATATTCTTGTTATACAGCCGGATATGCGACAGTACTACTAGAGAAAGAAAAAGGGCGAAATAAGCTTTGAGTTAATAACTTGCTTTCAGTACTACCAATAATGGGCACTATGGGCCTAACAGGACTTACAGGATGGACTATCGGGGATAGCTTGGATACGATAGTTGGCCTATCATTTCGGGCTTGCTCCCCATTTTTCTCAATTACATCGAACCTCGGTATAATAGCAGGTTATATGGTTCTAGGTCAAGCCACTCTCCTTGGAATAAGCATTATCCAATATGCTTTTTCTCTTGGCCAATTCATTTGAAACATGAAAGTACAAACTAGCAAGTGAATTTGAAAGACGTAAAGTGCCTTTCTTTAGGGAGCCAGTTACTTCGTTCCTTTTCTTGGTAGTTCTGTTACATACCATCAATTGCTCTGGGGTTTGCTTTCGACTGATTGAAGTTTGCTTGCTTTTCCGCTAAATGAGAATATATATTTTATTCTGCGAGGTTCCATACGAGCGCAAGAGAATAGGTGGTTTCCATAGGGGGCAGACCATATGCAGGCATTGTATATTTCAGTTGGTTGTTCAGGGCATGTAGTCCCATTTGCCTTTCCAGGGACTTCACTTCGCTTCGAAAAGTTTGTTGGGTTCCAAACCTTAACAAGCTATCAAACCGAGTAGAGGCGTATAGATACCGATATGCAACTGGAACACCTTAAACGGGGTATCAATATGGGCAAGGTGCTTCTTTTTCGACTCGGTTGACAAAATATCTCACCGGATATGGTTCAACTACAACCCGGTCGTTCTGGGGGCAGTTTCAATGCAATTTTCAGGTGGGACGAGATCAAAATTGGCTCTGCTCCCCGATTTGGATCTGCTGTTGGAACCAAGTGAATCGCTTTTGTGGTTTAAATGTTGCTAGCCCCAATGCTGCTCGCTTTTATTCCGGTGGATCAATGGGTTGCCGCACCGGCCTCAGATCTCGACCCGGGTGAGAAACAGCCTTCTATGTATGCCTTTGCGGGTGATGCTCATGATCCTACAGCTCGTATAGTATAGAAAGAGTGTCAATAGCAGAGGCTGGTAGCATAAAGGTCCAACCAATGAATGCTATTATTTATTTCTCTTCTCCATAGGGAAATCGATGAGAGATGCGAACAAAGGCTGCGTAGGCACGAGTATCAAAGCTTCAGTCCCAGCGTAAACGCCCCTTATGGTTTCGATACTAGTACCAGCAGCTTCCCTACCACCACCTCGCCCAAGATCTATTCCGGTTCCAGTCGCAGAACCACCGGGCCCATTATTGACCCAGTGACCAGGGTAGAGCTAGTTGGAGAGACATTACCTAGCCCTTGTCCGAAAAAGTGGTTGTTCCACCACCGGAAGCAGAGGAAGCTAACCGAGTTGACTAAGAATCAGTCGTTTACCTCGACTTTGAACCCCAAAATATGCCTGTCTACCTCTATGAGGTAAAGCCAGGAGCAGTAAGTTCACCCCCAACAAAGCTATACTCCTTCTCTGCCAGTTCGAGTTACCATTGTTGATCCATCAGTTTCTGAGCTAGCAGAGTCAAACTAAACAAGGTTCAAAAACTCCCCCTTTGACTCAGGCTCGATATAATTGACCTCAGCACCTCCATTTCCGGTAACCATTCCTGCCATCCACTCTGCCATGAGAGTTTTTATGTTCGTCTTCTATGTGATCCTCCTCTGGTCGTTGCAGTTTTCTCTTCGGTTCCCGACGGTTCCCTTACGTAATAGGGCTCACCCGTCACGGCTCTTCCCTCTTCTTCGTCCTCTGCGCTCTTGTGTCCATAATAACGGCTCAATTCTTAAACTTTAAGTTTGGGACGTTCCAAACGTTTGCTCTTTGCAAGATTCTCAGGAGAGAATGCCCCAAAGCCCCCTTTCTCCAATTGAAATTCCAGAGGGATATCCTTTTAGAGACGCTCTCCTGGCATTAGCGGAATAAGAGCAGTGGGACTTGAGCTAGTGGGATAAATTAACTATGAATCTATCTCATGACTAGCAATTCCGCATTGCCCTTTCGTGTCGTGCTAGCCTTTCTTTATGACTTCACTTCGCTTCGCTTCTAAAGTTGGATCGCAAAGTGAGTCTCGACGTCAAGGAGAGGAAAGATGCAATTGACATCTTATCTCTGTTAAGTGAATAGCTCTGTCAGCTGGTTTTCTTCGTCTTTAGAAGAAAGGGCGTAGCTACAGACGTAAGGATTGCTCCTTCTTGGGTTACCTTCTCTCTGCTCGTCTCGGACCAACAAAGATGGGCTAGGCTAGACCTTTAGGACGAAGGAGAACTCCGCTACGCTCATTGAGAAGGATACTGAATGGAGTCAGTTGGGTGATAGCGGCTAGGAATTCTGAGATTATATAATGGGAAATAAGAAAGAAACTAACTAAAAAAAAGAAAATGGCACGAGGCCAGCATACTCCAATCGAATCTGCTAACAGCAGAGGTAAGACGCCATTGGGAGGAGAGGGAAAGCAATGAAGCCCCAAATCTAACTCATAAAAATGAGTGGAAAACCAGTCTGCACTCCTCTTGCTTTCCCTATGAACATGGTTGATGCAGCAATCCCAGTCTCGATTCTGAAATTCCTTGATAGCATCAATCAGCTGACACGAAGCCTCATAGAAAGCTGCTGAATTCTCTGGACTGCAATGCTTTTACAGGCTCGGTGTAAGCGTGATTTGGAAGGGGATCTTTAGTACTCATTTGCAGGCGCTATGTTAATAGCCCTCAGCCGGGATATCGCGAATCGAGATGTAGATGAAGTCGCTTTATGAGTGGGTCATGTTGAATCCGAGACTTTAGCGACACGAGATCAAGGAAAGGATTGCCCCCGGCCCCCTCCAAATGGCTTTGGTTGAGAGGAAGAGGCCTTGCCTTGGTTTCCATGACTCCATCCCGACGAACCCGTTACAGCGAAGGTCCCTGTCCCTATAAATCAAGTCAAGAAATAGGCGGAAAATAGATCTCCCAAGTATATGATCAATTGGGAGAAATAGACCAAAGACAGAAAAAAAAGAGTGGAATAAATCAAAAGTCGCACCTTTTTATTGAATTTTGTCCCGTAAGAATGAAAGAGAATGATGTTGCCTAATAGAACCAAAGTTCTACCCGTGACCATTCCTGATCCTATAAAGAACGTCAAGGATGGCCGAGAGACTTATAGAAGCTTGAAAGAGTCGTACCAAAATCGGATTTCCAGAAGAAGATAACAAGAAAAATCAATCTTTCAAAAAATGATTCATTTCGATTTGAAATATGAGGTTAGACTTCCCCTTTTTCTTCCCGGTCCAATATTGACGAGTAGTAGTAGCAATCTATGAATAGAATAGAAGGCCTTCACGCTTCTTTCTCGAAGTCAACTTAACACCAAGACAATCGAAGACAGAAAAGTCTCTTAGGCAAGCTAATTTACCGGCTTCGCGAGACCATTATAGGCCTACTCAAGGCTAAGCTCTACTGGGTTAGTCGCTTTCTTGATGAAGTACCGTAAAAGCTCCTTCTTTCTTCCTTTATGGTGAAACCTTTTTTCAAGGCTTGACTTGGATAGAGCGGAAGCATAAGTAAGCGGCGTGGAAAGGTCAATTATATCGAACCTCAGGTGAGTGAGGAAGAAGCCGAAAAAATGCTCTTTCAAGTCCTTAGTATAGTATGTGGATCATATCAAGCAGGGCATAAAATGAGTTGGCTGATCAGAGGGCAAGGGTTGGTTGGTAGCGGGGATTTGCTCGGGCTTGCATTCATTAATCTTTCTCGCCAGAAAGAAACTTCCCCTTCACCCCTCGTACAAAGGTCGAGCATCTCCGACGCGTCCTCTCCTTTTTTTTTAGTCTCACCTCTTTCGTCCCCTGATCTCTCCATTTAAACTCTTATGTAAAAATACTACTAGACTGAAAGAACAGAAGGAGCTGATATATCAGAGTTCTCCTCACCAACAAGCCACTTGAGAAATGCGACTCTATTTCAAAACCCACGAATCGATCGTAGCCAGACCCCGGCCCGTATCCCTCATACGGAGGGAATATGCCGAACAGGACGAGGAAGGCGAGGAGTCGAAAGCAAAGAGGCTGAAACCAGGTACACATTCTCAAAAAAAGAGAAAGTCGAACAGGAAGTTTAATCATCCCAATGACCGTGCAACAAATAAGATAGAAAAAATGTAATTTGCCATGACAACATCTATTAGTGAAATACCTTCTTCTATGACTTCACTTCGCTTCGAAAAGTTTGTTCCCTATGAACCATGAAGATCTTATGCAGCAGAGTCTTCGGGTACAAGCAGCAGAGCTGATGTAAGGTTAAGGTAGTGGTAATGTTTGGGGTATATTCGTGTCTTCCAAGCCACATCATCGATCGCCTATGAAAGCCCATTGAAGATATTCACTTGAGTAGAGCTCCAACAAAATTGGGAATAACTCCGGTATGGAAGGAAATGGTTGAATGACATGCTCTCCTTCTGCTCATTCATTGAGCTAGAGGATCTGAAAGAGAACCAATTTACTTGGAATAATGGTCGTGTCGTCATGCTTCTTCATTTCTTCCCGAGAGGTCAATGTAATCTTTAGAAGCGAAGTTCAGTCAAAGAGCGGGACTAACCAAAGAGACGAGGAACTTGCACCGCACCGAAGAAAAACAAGAAGGTCTTACCGGACTGAGACCGACAGACTGCTCCCGCTTGATAGCAGGTCAATTACATCGATCCATATGAGAGTTGGTCGTGTATATTGCTTTCTCGCCTAACTACCTCTTCTATCAATACTTCTACTCAAGCACGGGGAATCGTTTACGGGATTTGTTTAGTGGGAAGAAGATGGCTTCTTATTTGAACTAGAACATAGTATAAAGCTATTGGCTGCCTAGTTGTAGGTTCGATATAATTGACCTCTTTCATCTCTCAGGAATAAGAGGAAAGATCAGATGCGAGGAGGTCCATTGTAGAATCACAAAAGAGTCTCTTTGAAAGCTAAAGCAAGCAATCGAAGACAGAATGGTCACCACATGTTCCAATCGAAGTCTAAGCTTTCTTCTCAGCCCCTCAATTACATCGACCCTTAGCTTGATAACTACTTTCTTTGCTTACTCTTTTCGTAGAACCAAGGACGTCGAACTGACAACTCTTTCTTAGGGCGAGTAACTCCCTTCGCGTCGAGTGACTTTCTATCACTTATCATAGTAGAGTAAGGAGCAAAGCTACCGTAGAAAGAGCTTAAAGCCCTCACGGAACTGACTACGATAGAAAAAAGGTCAGGCAAGGCAGGCCTATGAAGGGGATACTTTTTGTCCTTGTCTTAACCACTTGGGACTCGCTTCCTCCTTCTTCGTCAATATATCCTTGATCCGGTAATAAAATGAAAATATAGAAATTCTCAACTATTGAGAAGATCTCCTACGGCTCTTTTCTCATAGTGATGCGACGGAGAGCTCCTTGTTGGCGGTAGCGATGCAGAGGAAAGAGCTCGAGTAAGTCTAGCCCCACTCTACTCTCCTTCTTGTATCCCTAATTCCTTCCCTTTCCTGTAAGGATTCTTGCTGGCCCTATAGACCTTCCTATACCCCCAAAAGAAGATATTTACTGAGGTAAGTAGCTAGTAAATCTCTATTTTCGCAAGTCAACAAGGGTTTACGCATCAGGCATCCCGAACATGGGAAAAGAGCCTTAATTAAAAGGGCATGATCTACGGCGCTCGACAAGCTTGAATGCTATACCCACCTACGCACCTATGAACTCAAGAGCTTGAGTGAGTGACCAGTAGGAATGAGGCAATATACCTTCTAAGCCTAGGAGGGGCGTAGTTGATTTGGGAGTTCATCTATCAACCACTTTTTGTGCGTTCGATGGAAGTCCCACTCTCTAGCCCTAGACTGACCCCTCTACAGCCCTAGTAGTTTCGGGTCTCGCGAACCTGTGTGCTCTATCACCAACAATTGCTTGCGCAGGAGTCACCCCAATTGCTTTAGCGGGTGCTGCTACAACTGCTTTTGCGGGAGATATCCCCCGATCCCGTTATCGGAAGAACTAGCCCTTTCTCTGCTTAGCGAATTAGCTTCGACACGCATTAGAGCTTAGACACGAATTGCATGTCTTAAGCATATAGCCTAACTAGTATGATCAGTGGTACGGGAAATTTGACTTGACTTGCTCTTTCTTTACGCTATTTCGTCTTTCTATAGAATAGGAAGAGAGGACCTTCTTCTCGTATGCTATTTTGTACGTATGAAAAGATGTCTGCGTCGTGGCGATTGCCTTTCCTGGTGGTGAAGGATTCTATTCCCGAGCGGCTAAGGTCCAATCCGGTATTCTATTTCGTCTGTGCGAGCATTAAAACCAACCATTGCCGACGTCCTCATATTCTCTAATTTGGCTAATCTCCGTGCATTAGCTGGTTAAGCAAATCGATTCCAACTCAGTGGCAGATAGGCAGCAACATTTCTTTCCTAATAACTAAGACTTTCTTTACTACTTTACCAACCCATATCACGCTAACTGATACTGTGCCTAGTGATTGATGAAGGTCACAGAGGAGTAAGAATAGCAAAGCCTACAAATAATGTGATAAGAGTTCGGTTTGGCGTGGCTGGACATTTAGGATTAGCTTACTTGGCGCTATCCACAGTTACCACCTTTTCAACCACATCATCTCTTTTACTTTCTCTCGAAGCAGCAAGAAAACGGATGCGCGTTAGCGCAACGGCTTTCGCGCTAGTTGCTCAATCCGTTGCTTGTTCAGCGAAAGCCTAGTGAATCCAGAGCCATCTTCCTTCCTATTAGCTCTCTCTCAGGGATTCGAATGCCCATTGGCATTATTAAAAACTAGTGCCCAACTTGCATATCTCGGGAACTCTTGAAACATAAGGAATAGGAGGATGCTTCGATTCTCTTGTTGTCGACTAAGCGGAGCGTTTACGGGGTTCTAATGAGACAGACGCTTCACCCTTT